CAGAGTAAAAAAAAAAGATTTATTAGGGGTCACCATGTCGGCATTACCTGGGTGCAGCAGACTCTAAGACACATCAATCATTCCTTTCATCCTTGACCCTGGTCTTCCCCCCACCCCCTGGATGTTTATTCTCCAATGGGACACATCCATAGCCAAGAGTCATCAATCATGCTCTCCAGTAATAATCTTGTGTGCCAACAGCTTCGGCTGCCTAGCAGTTACCTGAAGCATTTAAGGAATACACTACTTTCCCCACTCCCTTTCTGCTGGCAACTAAAAAGACCAATTTTTTAGTTGACAATTGCCTTGATTCACTTAACAACCGAGGCAAGAAATGTCGTAAAAATGGGGCAAAAAAAAAATCACTTAAAATTTTTTCACTTAACAACAGGAAGCAATTGCTCAATTGTGGTTGTAGGTCAAGGACTACATATACAGGTTAGACTGCTATGAAAATATAGTTCTAAGTGTTCATACAATATTTGAGTACTTTACTTAGGTTTTTGTTGAACAAGGCTGTTAGAAATTTCCGTTTGTGTCTCTGCATGGTAGGGTCAAGAAGGCAAGATGGTAGCTGCAACCACACAAAGGAAGCCCTGCCTTTTTGTTATGTGCGACACAACGCCTGTGAACAAAGGGCAGTGCTTTGATTACAGTCACAGCTGCCTGTGGTTTGTGAATCTTTTTTTCCATTTGTCTTCAATGTTGCCCAAGCATGATTTTTGCTTCTACTCTTTGGAATTTTATGACCACTAAATGCATACATGGACAATTCAGCCTTTATTTTTTATCTTTTGTTTCACTATTTATATACTCTGCCATTCATGAATGATTAATAAAATTCACTTGGGAGCGTTTTGGACATAATCCTATTTCAGGTTGGTCTATGAATTTCCATGCTACATTAGTGTCATGTCTTTTATAAAAGACATGGCGGGGAAAGTGACATGAACTTGGTCAGCCCAGAACACAGACCCTTCTTAGCATATTTTTAATTCTTCAAAACACTTTTGGATTTTTTTCCCACAGAATTACAGCCCTGCCACATATCTCCCCCTTTATTTATTAATGGAGAGGAGGACTGTTTTGTGGAGCAGCTGTTCAAAATGGGGGAAATAATCTTTGTGTAATAAAATTCCTATCTGGCCACGCATTTGGCTTGCTTTCTTGCTTCCAGGCAGATTGTGTGTTGCTTCTAGCTTCCTGCAAGTTGGGGCTTTCGGTCTGTTTTTTTCCCCTCTTCTGTCCCTTAGAAGTAAGAGTGAGCCTGAGCAGCTGTTCAGCCTTTGCAGAAAGCCACATTATTTTTTCCCCCAGTTCTTTCTGATTGCAGAAAGTTAACTTGATTTCCTTAGGCATATGCAAAAGTTCCATTATTTTGAAGCAGGAGGGCTTGGAGGATGTTGCAGTGATCAGACAATAATATCTTAAAATAGGAGCGTACACAAAGCAGAAATGTTCATGTCATGGGTTTTATCCATAGTCAGAATCTAACTTCATCATATTGTAGAACTATAGATGCAGAATAAAGCAATGCTTAACAATTTATGCTTTTTGGATATTGGTCCTAAGCTTTTTGTGCATAAATATAGGCGGGGGAAAACATTTTTTTAAAATAAAAGAAAACACTTCATGGTTATAAGAAAGAGTCCTGTTAGCAGTTTCCCTTGTTTATTTAGAGGAGTTGTCATTAACCAAAAACAACAACTTTCAGTTTTGTAACTGCTTCGTGTGAAAGTGTAGGATTGGATCCATAGGAAATGGTACCCAAACTCTGCACTAAATTATTTAGTTTTGTGTTTCTTTAAAAGAAGATTACAGTTCATTAACAATTATCTTTAATCCTGCTGTTTCATTCCTGGTGTTTATGGATGTATAAAAGCTTCATTAGTATCTATAGTGTTCCTTGTTGCAGTTTCACATACCCTGAGTGCTGGAGAATGTTCTAGGCAGACACAACAACAATCTTTCTTTAGACAAAAATCAAATAAGATCTCATGTACAAATTGCTGCCTTGGTTCCCAGTCATGCAGAAGACATTCCAAAATTTCAACCATTTCTCTCTTTGGGAAATTTGGGGAATTCACGGACATACACAGTCATCTTGAAATTTATTGTTTCCTGGATAATGGAACCTTAAAGTTGTCATTTGTGTACCATGGTTCCTGTGCAAGATACTTTCTATTTTTTGGCAAGCTGAGTTTGACACATCCACGTACAACATCATATCTTTGTGAAGCTGTTTCTGGCAAACTTTGGGCCTGTGTAAATATTGGTGACTCTAGAATATAGAAAGTTTGGGAACCTCTGGTGTGAACTGATGATATAGCTAGATACAAACTTTCTCCTCAACATTTCAACACTTCTCTAAATTCCTGGGGATAGTTTGCCCAGATAGGCAGCTGATTCTTGGAATATTTATTTCCAATCCACATGAATTATCAGGAGAACCAAATGAAGTGTATGTATGCATAGGTAACTTTCAACAGATAGTGGATTGAATTATGTGAGGAGGTTAGTTGAATTCAAGTCCCATTGAAATCAAGTTGCATTGCAAAAAAACTACTTTCATTTAGGGGAAATCTATGTTTAATTAATTTAACCTGCTCTAAAATATATTTTATTTAAACTACTTGAATTTTTGAACATTGTCCTTTGGGGTGTAAATAGTAAATATTCATCTCTCATGTAGAAGAAAGATTTTTAGTCTCAGTCATCAGATTTTGGTAATTCACAAATACAACACATATTTTTGCTACCTTCAATTTTCAGTAAGTCCTAACCACATTGCATAATGAAGCTTATTCTTAAATGATAATATTGAAAATTGCACACTTCTTTTTCATCAATTTTAAAGACATTTTTGGGTCTTAATATAAAGTTTATCCTTTCTAACGTGTATCTCTGGCTCTCTTTCTTATTTCGGTGGTTGGATAAGAGCTGGACCATTTCTGAATTCAGTCATGCTCATGGCTGCACATCATAAATTGTAAATAGGACCTGAAATGCTCACGGTTTTCAGTTGTATTTTGTACATGATGCACAATGTATTTTTTAAGTTCTAACAGCTCTGAAGCTTTTAGTGGGCATTCCCTATAATTTCCATTTAAAAGATGATGCATTTGTAATGTACTAAGACAAAGTCACTTAAAAGCTGTCAGTGCCTTTGAGTTGCTATATATAATGCATAAATGAAAACATTTAGCATTTAAATGATAAGAGCTATTTAACATTGCTTTCATTTTAGTATTATGGGATGAGAATATTTTTTTTTACTGTGCTTTAAACTAGAAAACAATGGCTTGGAAAACATTATATATTCTTTCCTCTTTTTTTTAATAGAGTTAATTATATAATTTGGCATATTTGCTTTATTTCTTTGTTTCCACAAAATCTGATTATCTGGCAGCACAGGACATACTTTGTGTCCAGGGGCTTCCCATGTGCACTCTCCTTGTTTAAATGCTGCCATTAAATCGGGAAACCTCTAATTAGCTTAATTTTCCATTTGTGGAAGGGGTGTCTAGCTTTCAAATCATAGAAAATGTTCAAAAGGGACTTGCCTGGAACAGGAAGATTCAGGTGGTCCACATCCTGAGCAAAATGTTGATTTTAGGCATGGATCCAGAACAAGTAGGCTGGATCTTGGCATAGATGTTAACTGGTGGAAGACAGCAAGGTCATTGGTGGCAGCAGCTAAGCAGAGATACCGGAGAAGAAACGTGTTGGGTGGGAGGATCAAAGGAGAAGACATTTTGGTTACGCCACCTTTGAATTCAAGCGTGGTAGCTAAGGACAGGGAAGACTTGCTGCCCAAACCATGCAAAGGTAGAGGGTACAGAGGAGCAAGCTGTCCCAAGCTTGCTCTATTCATCCTGCAGGACCCGCCTGAAACATCGCTAAGCTGAATCAATCAAGATGTTCCACTATTCATTCATCCAGAATGGTTCGGTTGATTTCCTAAACACAACGCATTGGCTGCCATAGTCAGAACAAACAGGTTTTCACACACAGTCTAAAACTAACTCAGGGTTTTAAATGCAGCTTTAATATCCTGGTTTATTTTGAAGTTGGAACCCCTATCTCTTGGTTCGTATAAAATGAGGAGCCCTGGTAAATTGCATTCCTTGTTTAATATCATGACCAATTAAAACATAGTTTACAAAAGTAGAGCGGAGAGATTTTATTCATGGGCATTAAAAAAAAAAAGCCTTGTCCAGAATTTTCTTCTTAAGACAAGGTATAGGCTGAACTAGGTCATTCCCTTTTTTAGCCTTCAGCAAGTTGTCAGACTTCTTTTACCCATTTATAAAATATGAAGTACTGCATGATTTAAGGAACACTTGCGAGTATGTCTGTAGACAGCAGCACTGCACATTTTAAGCTGGCTCAAAGTTAAGTACATCTGTTTATGTGGGTACCTTTTAAAAAAAATCTTAAGAGATATATCTGAATTGTGTGTGTGTGTGTGTAAATGAATCTAGCCTTGAAAGACACATTTGGCTGGGTGTCAAATGAAGTTCTATGGCCTGATCTGGGTGAACTTGATAGGTTTGTGACATTACTTTGCAGAAGAGCAGACTAAAGATATTCCCTGTATGTTATCCTCATTACAATGGCATTTCAAAAAAGTTTTATTATTCTTTATATTTGAACACTGATGACAGTGATTTGTAGTTTGCTTCATGTCCCATATTGGCCTTGATAGTTATTTGGATAAATATTGTAATACTTTCATTCTTCATGAAAAGGACATCTTTGATTTGCCATTAGCACAGGGGTGTCAAACTCACGTTGTCACGGCAGCATCACATGACATATTGGGACTTGTTTCCCTTTTGCTAAACCGGGCATGGGTGTGGTCAGCACATGACGCATCTGGCCCGTGGGATGGGAGTTTGGCAGCCTGGCATTAGCAGAATTGCAAAATCTGTGTCAGGGGATACTTCTATTACTGCTTTTTTCCCCTCTTTTTGATTTGTTTTTCTCTCCCTTTTAAGCGTAAAGATGGTGCTAATGTGGACCAGCGGTGACACCTTCAAGACGGTGTATTTCCTCCTGAATCAAGCTCCATTCCAGTTCTCGGTGTGTGGACTTCTCCAGGTTTTTGTAGACATGGCCATCCTTTTGCAGGTTTACTTCTTCAGCTGTTACCCACAGAAACCTGTTCCACATTCATCACATCCAGCCAGCACAAAGGCACTTTAAGGCACAGGATGGAAATGATTATTCATGGGAGATGTAGAAGAGGCTGGAAGCCAGCCTTAGCTTCCGCTCTGTTCGTACCTACTGTGTTTCTGAGGAACTAGAAGTAGAAGAATCAAAGATGCATACCTACATGGACACTTTTTCTGGCACTTTTTCCTCTTCTTTCGTTGGGTTGCATCTCTATTGAAATGGATTTGTCTTGTTTGGGATTGCAGTGAGGGGTTTTCTTTTATGTTCTTCTGTTCTTCTCAATTCTTTAAAATATCTGTGCACGGACAAATGTGTGTATCCCAAGGGCTGGTTGTTAATGTTCTCAACGCTATTTTTTCAAAGGTCAGTCATAAAAGTTGGAGTATTTTGTCTGAAGCATTTACCCATTTATATGCATATGGGCTACGTATTTGGAATATTTTACATTCCTTAGATGAAAGTGCAGAACCTGTTGTTGTTTTTTAATGTGGTAAACCACACTTGGTAAGATGGTAAGAGTTGATAATAAGAAGAGATGGTTTAGTGAATAATGTCAAGGAATAAATTTTGTGCAACTGTGTTAAATATATATGCGCACACTGCTGGGTCAGTGTGATGTATAAGTACATCAAAGTGATTAGTCATTTTGATACAAATGTTACTATAGCCAAACAGAACAGACTAATGCACAGTAAGTCTTCAGAGAGCTCAGAAGGATGAGTAATTTCAACACATTGAAGAAATTACTAACATAATCTATAAAGGATTTAAAATTAAAGAGGATGAGCTTGAACAAAAATCAGTGTTTAGTTTAGGCATTATTTGCATTCTGTTCCTGTATTTTTGTTTGGTGGGAAAGCCACTTTGTTATGTAAATCTTGTTTCTGCAGTGTGAGCACAATGGCATTCTTAAAAGTTATGCTCTTGAGTTGCACAGATCTACTCCAATAAGCGCTGCTTTTTAAGCTAAAGACATTATCTGAGTAACCTACTCTCTGTGCAAGAGATGGTTTACTAGACTAGAATAGAGAAGAGAGAGCAATACTTTAGTGTTGGATAATATGGCAAACCTTTTTTTACAAGAAAATGTTTGTGTGTGATATTTTTCTAAATATTGAATACCAAATGTCATTTTATGTTTGGGAAGAAGTGGGGCTACTGAAAAGTATGGTAGTGATTCTGAGTTTTGAAAATTGCTTCATTTTAGCAGTGCCATAACCAGTAACTGAAAGGAGAGAAGCGTCGCTTGTATTGTTTTTAAAATTCCTTGACTAACTTGTCAAGGCAAATTTGCTTCCATAGTTATGAGATATATATGCATTCTACAGTGATTCAGGAACCACTCTGTTCTCTTAGCCATAAAATATACTATATGTGCTTTTGTTGTTAGATATATGCTACCTGGAGGGGCATTTTATGAAATGCTGATTCAACTGTTACCTTGATTCCCCTCAACTATCCAAAAAAAGGTATTGACGTCTGACCAGAACTCTTCAACTGGGTCTCCTCCTTGCTTCATCCAGTTGTCTCTCTTTCAAATCTGGGATGACCTGAAGACATCAAAATCCTATCTTTGCAAGAGTGGGAATCTATCAGAAGCTTTGCTTTAATCCCTTCCACTTGCACATCTGATCTAGCTGTGTGTCCGCTTCTATATTTTGGGACTGAGGGACAAGCGTGTCACTATGGCAATTCTGAATGCCCAGGTACCCTCCCTTAAACAGCAAAAAAAAAAAAAAAAAATCAAGATAAAACAAGGATGAGGCAATATATTGATTGGCTATCGCTTTAGTGGAGGTCTCTCTTGCCTGGCTGGCAAATAAATAAAACCTCAGGAAAGCTGCTTTAATGAGGGCTTGGTGTGAAATGTTGTAGTTGAATAGACGTGCGCTGTTGATTGGCTTTGCTGCTTATTCCTTGGTGCCTGAAGTGCCCTTACCAAGCTGAGTTTATGTGGCATGGCTGAATGTGAATGTTGCATTGCTCTCTTTTTCACAAGTGGTCTAACTGTGTTGGAACAGTGTGGCAGTCTTTTAAATTATACATTTTCATCCTAGTTTTTCCTGGTGTGCTGCTGTAGCGGGGATTGTATTTCTACTCATACAACAGAACTTATTAAACTTGCAATGCTTTTATTTTTGTATGGGGTAATATTCTTTTCTTTCCCAATGTCTTTTGAGAAGAGATACGGGATTAAACTATTATGTTAGTGTAGCCTGAATATATATAAATACCTCTTTTTTTAACAAGTGTTATTGAAGGTAAAATTAATAATATTCCACACGCAATCCTGCTTTTTTTTTAAAGATGAATTACTGTCTACAGATTCTTTACTTCTGCTGTCAATATTAAAATGTACGCTCAGAACATCACAACAGAACTACAAATGTCACCAGAGAAGTTTACGCACTTGTGCAGTATTTAACTATGTGGGTCCCTCACTCCTGAACACCAGATAGCCACGTATTTAAGAAAAGGGCCATTTTAACACTTCCCACATCGTTTTAGGATCAACATAAATTGATTCCCAGGGAATCATAACTATCAATCAAATCGAAGAGAGCCAATTGCCTGGGTTTTTCCCATGAAACTTCTGTTGCCTTGACTTGAACCTTTAAACCAAAGGTGTCCAACCTTGGCAACTTAAGATTTGTGGACTTCCAACTCTGAGAAGTCCCCTGCCAGCATGAATTCTGGGAGTTAAATTCCACATGTCTTAAAAGTTGCCAAGGTTGGACACCCCTGATTTAAACCATAAGTGGCCAATCTTTAATTAGACAATGGCAAAGCTCTCCTTATCAACTAGAGAAGGACAGCATGCCTTCTAGTGATGCCGCATAATCAATTATCTCTTAGCTTTTTTGGGGGGGGGGAAGGGGGGAAGAATGGATGACCCACGTCCCTGAAAACTGGCTATTTTGCCATCAAATTTCAAAAGTTCTCAAGATGCTAAGAGGCCATATTTCATCATAGGACAAAGGTTGTCCATCACTCACTTAAGCCTTCTCCTACTCACAGGTAAACTCTTTGTCAAGCAGCAGCTCTGATACATCTGTAAGAGTATCCAAAGAGCACCTCAGTAATTAGGAAACTATTTCCTAAAAAAAACATCTGTAAAGAACTTTTGTATATTTTAGCTATATGTTGAATGTATGGAAAAATCCAATTGCACTCAATGATCAGTTTGATTTTTTTTTTTAAATAAAAGTTATACACAAATACATTATTTGTTGTTCTTTTCAAATGTAACAGAAGAAATACTGCTGTTGTGTGGGTTCAACTAGCCCAGCTGGCTTCCTCCTCCAAAGTATACTGAACTTGAAAAAGAAAACATTTGTTAACTCACATATCCATACAGGAAAACTTTACAAAGGTCACTGAGTTTATGATATCGAAGCAAGGCTATTTATTGTGTTCAGGACTGATTGTGCACCACTGCTTAAGAAATTCAGTAGCATACTCATTTCCAGCACAGCATCTCATTTATACTCAATGGCCAGTCTTCTAAAACTGGTATTTTTAATAATTTAATACTTTAAAATCATGCATTTTGATAACGAACAGAGTTTATTTCTCCACGATTATCTAATAATAAATGTTGATGTTAATATATGCACTTATTATATACCCTATTCATTCAGAACCAGATCTCTGGATAACAACTTTCTGAATAGATCTTTGACCTGTTCCAATAGATCTCCTCTCATCCATCAGTGACAGCCAAACACTGCAAGTTTATACGTTTTGGCATATAAGTTAAAACATTTCATATACTTTGTTGCCCAGAGCTGTTGCAGGTTCCTCAAGACTGGTTGTGCCAGCAGGCCTAAAGACCCCAAAGGACTGGTGAACTTGTGAAAATGCTCCGTTACTAACATCCCACTATTATTTTCCTTCTTTAGTTCTGTTTTTATAATATTCCGTGTTTTTGTAACAACTAGTTAGCAAATGCTTTTAGATCATGATGGTTTTATATAATTTTATTGAATAGTTTTATGCTATCCAGAGTCACTGTGAGATGGGAAGCTATGTAAATTTGATAAATAAATTTGATTGCAAGAAGTACAGAGCAACATGCTACCTTTACAATTTTTAATGAGGCTTTAATACATGAGAATCAGATAGTTTTAACGCATTTCGGGGGATAGTCGAACACATGTAGGAAGAGTGTTAGTTATGTATGTAAACTTCCTTTTTGTATTGAATGAAGATAGGTGGGTTGTTTTTGCTCCAGGACAAATAGTATTTTAAGTGGAGCATTGCTTGGCATTAAAGCATTCCTTCTCAGACTTCTGAAATCAACAGGAGCAAAGATGGTTACATACACGTTCTTTTACATTACTTATAGGGAGCTGAAATGTTTTGTAGAAGTGGCTATTATTTGCTAAACTTCTTATGTTGAAGCTAGAAGAGAGATTAGTTCCAAATTAATCGTATTATTTTAATATACCTCAAGAAAATGGAACAAGTTATACTGTTAATTTTTCGCACTTCTAAAGTAGGAATGGGGCTTTCTTTCTGTAGTGTGAGCTTAGTTTCTCCTATCTTTCCTGGGTTTTTCTGACTCCAGCATGAGCTCAAAAACACTCTTCCATGTGAAAAATTGTGGGTTATGTATAGTACATTTCTACATATTAAATGAACGTAACAAGACCTTGGGCTGCACATGGAAAACAAATAATTTACATGTGAAATGGCTTCCATAGATAAAAAAAAAACTAGTTTTACATGATGTGCCACAAAGTAATTTTATTTTCCTTTCTTATTTTCAAAATAAACTGGAACAAATAAGAATCAGGAAACAGAAATTAATCTTTTTTTTTTTTTTACAATGTTGCTTGCCAACAGATGACATGTTTAATATAGCTCAACCCCACAAAACAAGACTGCATAAACTCCCAGCGTCGTCACAATCTTGCAGACCAAGAATCAATACAAATGGAAAAGTAAATAGACTTCAGTTTTACTATTACCGGTAGTACCTCCAGCACTAAGACCCTCTATTTTCAAAAGGGGTAAGGCTCTTAATTTTTGCTTAGATCCAGGAGTTGGAATTCACCACAAATCCTAATTACTGTAAAAGGCTCCTGCCTTTGGGTAGCAAAATCTACTTTAAAAATACTGCTCACTGTGACTCTTGTGCGGTTATTTTCGACATAGTGAAGAAGTCATTTTTAACTATGAGGAGAAGATTTGCAGGGTCAAAATCCGTCAAAACCAAAAGCTTTTATCTCATGTTTTGTAACTCCCACATGCCGCACGGAACAAAACTGTTGTTGCAAATACAGAGGAAATTAAGTGCAAATGCTTTGTGCTTCCTCCTTTATTGTGCATCTTTGCAATGGACAGGGCTAATTTAACGATGTTCTGCAATTTATCCCACATTCAACTCCAGGCCAATACAATTCTTTTTATTATTGATTGCATTAATTTATTATTATTTTAGAAAGACAAGAGCAAGAACAGTTTTTTTAACCTAACACTGCACATGATAGTTATTAGAATAAAATGAAAGCTCAATTTTGCTATTTAGTTTAAAGCCAGCTAGCTATAAATGCCTCAGAAGTGTCTTCTTCCATTTTAAAAATATCATGGTTTTAGTACCAATGGATCAGACATATGGGGAAAAAAAATCCAAGCAGAATAATTTAAATCTGAGCAAAGGAAATACCATCTAAGCCAGGGGTGGACAACTATGGCCCCTTTATGAGCTTTGGACTTCAAATCCCAGAATTCCTCAGTCAATCATGCTGGTTCAGGAATTCTGGGAGTTGAAGTCCACAAGCCGTAAAGGGGTCTCAGTTGCCTACCCCTGATCTAAGCCAAAGTGCAAAACTTCCTGTGGCCAATAGCAGTAATGCATAAAGAACTAAAGCAGGCCTTTTTACTGAAGGGAAAAAAAATAAACCATGGGCAACACAGGGATTGGCTTCGCAATTAATTCCAAAACGTCTTCATACCCATAAAGCAAATTCCCTTTTTAACCTCTATGCATATTTCATGATGTACAACTGCAACATGAATCCATTACGGATGAATACAGCTAGGGAGAAACTACTGCTGGGCAATCTTTATCAGTTTCTCTAGCTCTATGCAGAATGAATGGAACAAGAACTGCCTGAATCTGGATACTTTTTAAAACTACCTTAGCTGTGTTATTTCTTCCCACATACATACAACAGAAACAAGTTTGAAAATTACCTTGAAAAGCACAATTAGCAGCATTGTTAGTGC